AGTGAGCCCAACTACTGGGAGCTCTCGTGCTTGGCCACAATCGCAGTATCTCGACCACCATTCCCATGAGAATAGTGAAACCTAATCCGAATCTGCAACCACGGCTACATATCTGGCCTGAAGGGAAATTAAGTGTATTTCAATTTAAATACAAAAGAGAAGATTTAAAAGGTTTGGGGTTTTCCCCTAAATCCCTGTTTTTCAGTTTGAGACCCCACGTTTGCCACCACGTTACTTTTCACTCTATTTCAACAACTCCTCCCGCCCTCTTCCTGTCTTTTCTGATGCACTGCAGTCACGACGGATCGTGGAGATTAGAGGTGATGATGAAATATTTCCTTACTGTCAGATAATCTAGGGGAAATTAATGACAGCCTGCTCCTTATTAGGGCCTAGGCTTGTATTAGTTCCCAGACTGCTCTGTGGCCTGACCTGCGCATTTCCCCCGATTAGGTCATATGATAAGCATTAGCGCCACTGCCTCTTTCCCACCAACTCAGCATCTAAAGACTGTGGCCTGAGGGCGGCAACGTGACACGCTCTTTTCTTCCAAAGCCCCGGTCGGCATGTGTCCTTTCATGGCACCTCGTTAGGTCTCTACCGATGAGATGAAAGAGCCGCTTTAAAGGAGAACAGAGGTGGGAAAGAATCACAGGTATGGCCACGACATGGATAGTTTTACAATAGCGTTTCGTGTCATTCTGGCTTTTGAAAAATGAGCAGTGTTGGTGCCAATGACTCACTGTTCTGGTGACAATCATTGTGAAATGACAATTAATTTGCTTCCCATGAAGATTTGTTTAAAAAGTTTTGAAAGATAGCAAAAGTAAAAACAGCAGTAACTTACGTTACAAGAAAAGCTTCAGGACTTCGTGTCGATTAACTGTGTTCATTTTTCCCCCAAGTGTTTTTGTATGTCCAACAAAGTGCTTGCATATTGGGAAAAGCCAAGACTGTAATGCTCACATTAGTACCATATGTTCAGCCTCATTAAAATGTGGTCTAAAATAATAACTACTGGCCTGCGTTCACATGTCAGCACTATATCATTTAATACTGCACTAAGAAACTAGAAAACCTTGAGAAACTAGATTGCGGGTTCCAGTCTCACCTTGGCCTGCATCTTCTCCAGAACTTAACGCAGGTGAGCCACATGTTGATTGAGGTGGAGCAGTGTGATCTCATCTTTAAACACTTGGCAGTTCAGCCTCATCTTCTCCAGAAGTCGGACCTCTGATGGCCTGAGGAGTAAACAAACACAAGCTGTTCCCTTGAGCTCTCTTAAAGGAATATTTCACCTAAAAATTTCAATTCTGAAAATGTGTATCCCCATAATGACTTAAATCATGGTCTGTTCTTCACACAAAGCTACCGTACAGCTTCAGAAGACTTGGAATATAGCGGACAAGTTATATGGACCAGTTTTATGATACTGTTATTGTTTGAAGCAGTTTTGACCTTGAAAGTCCTTTATTACATACAAAAGTGTGTTCAATATTCTCCTAAAAATTAACCTCTTATATTCAGAAAACAGAAAGCCATATAGGTTTAGAACAACATGGGAGTAAATTATGACTGAATTTTTATTTTTAGAGAACTATTCCTGTAAGCTTTGTCTTGGATTAGGAAGCTGATCTGAACAGACTTCCAATGTTCTGTCACTTTATATCAAAGATTAGGCTTTTTATTATTCTGTGGCTCGATCTTAAATAAACGTAAGCGGTCTAAACCTCTCATGTTCTCAGACCCAAATATCTTAGATTAATGTAATCCAAAAACCCTGAAACTTGAAAGATTTGTTTGCATTTTTGCTGGGGAAATGGCCAAGCACATGAAGGACATAACCTAACAAAAAACAATAAGCCTTCAACTTAAGTGGCTTATCAGGTAATTAATGACATATTGATTCATGATGCTATTTTCTCACACCCTTATCCATTCCTGCTTTCAATCTGTTCAGCTCGAAAAGATGTCAGAATAAATCAAAGGCCGTAATGCTGAGGAAAAGCAGGAAACTACTGGGTGAGACCCACACTGGCTTTTTCCTCAATCACCCTCTCTTTACTATGCACAACTCATAAATTAAACAGGATTCCCGTTTTGCAAAGGTAACTGTTTTCACATGATAAGGCTGATCCTTAAAAAAATCTGCTTTTGTGTTAAATTAAAAAATAAACAACATAATGAAGCATCATAACGGTGAGTAAATAATGACAGAATTGTCATTTTGGGGCAAACTATTCCTTTAAACAGTCAGAGCCATGTAGATATTTAATATGTTAAGAAATTACATTAAACATTGGCATGATGGGTCCAATAATAAAGTGGACAAGGGAGCAGCTTTCTCAGCACTTCAGGAAATTAGGAAAGATCTGTGGACTACCCATTACCCTCATCCAAATGACCTTCAGAGCACTGACGCCACAGAAAAATAAACTGTAACAGAGTGTAAACAGAGCATCAAAAATCACAGGATGCATTCTCTACAAGTAAATTACACTAAGGGCATCCAAAACCAGCTCTGATCATCAGTTATTCCAGCCTCTCCTCCTGGAAGACGCAACACATCATTATCCATAAAGACCAATGCATTAATGAACAGTTCCTTTTCCTCTCCCTGTTCTCTGTGATGATCCAATATAATTACCCAACTGCTCTGTATTAACCTCCAGAACATTCTATTCTAATCTATTCTATTCTACGGTAAGAGCATATACTTACTTATTCTTCTGCACTGGTGCAGTGTTAAGATTGTCCTTGAATGTTTGAAGGCTCTGCCTTTTCCTTTGCAGATTGTCCTGGGTCTCACTTCCAAGCCTCTTCACTTCCAAGCTATCTGTTTGCACTGCATCCATCTCCCCCTCCATCTTCTTCAGCTCTGAACAGAAGGCTACCAGGCCATGGTAAAGCTCCTGAACCTGGTTATCATGCACAGATCAACTAAAAGCAATAGTGGAGAACGGGCTTATTTTTCACGTTTTTTTCCCCTCAGGGCAGGTTTATTTTTGCAAGTCTATTTCTATGGAAGAACATACCTCTATATTTTGGCATTAAAAAAAAAAAACTCTATTGAACATTTCCACTGTTATTACCCTTGCAAAAAAAGATGCAGTTCATTGAACACACACGGACCCTGTGATGACATGCTCCAAAAGTAGACACAATACTAAAATATTAGTTTTATGACAATATTCACAAGACTTATTCTTCCCTGTGTGACAACCAGCCCTATAGTGTTTATTTACAATGGTGAAAAAGAAGACAGCATGTATTTACCTGTATGATGACGTTTTGAAGGGAAGCCACCTGTTGATTTAGCTCTTGAATCTTCCTGGTGTTGTTTAGCAGATCTTTGCGCTGAATATCGTCAGTGGTACAAATAATGTTATCTGATGAATAAGGACCCTCTTTCTGAGTTGCCTACAAGTTTTGAGAGGCAAAAGTTGAATTTGAAACGACATATGTTTATCTCCTAAAACAGTTATGTTTGTGGGATTTTTTTACTCCCTTGAAAGACTCGACTAAAACATGCGATTCGGTCTACCTTCCTACATAAGTGAAGCTCCATTAGTCTCGTCTCTGAGCCAGGCAAATCTCCAATCTGCTGCTCAGGGGAGAACTTATCTGAAAAACGTGGAAAAATAGAGACGGTATGTAAAAGTAAATTCACTGTGTAAATTCCAGGGCACTTACAAGCCACAAGCCATATATGATTCTCTCCAAACGTAAGACTAAATGGCTGATCTTTTCCAAAGACAAAAGAAAAAACCCTAAAAATAATACAATAAATTGAGCGTACGTCAGACTGATTTGATTAATTTTTAATACATACTCTCCTAGGCTTTTGTGTGTGTGTTTGCATTATCCCAAAGGACACACTAGTGGACATGCTAGGTAAATAGCCATCTGCTTTACTGCAAGTAATATACAAGTATTCTGTTTTACATGAGAGTCTGACCTGTAGGGTTGCTTTCATATGTGATATTGTATACATTATCAATGATTTGTAAAATGACTCCATAGGTTCTTCTGGCTTTAAGGTAGATTGTTATACAAAGACGATTGTGACCCTGGACCACAAAACCAGTCTTAATATATTTGTAGCAATAGCCAAAAATACATTGTATGGGTCAAAATTATTGATTTTTCTTTAATGCCAAAAATCATAAGGATATTAAGTAAATATCATGTTCCATGAAGATATTTTGTAAATTTCCTACTGTAAATATATTAAAACTTCATTTTTGATTAGTAATATGCATTGCTAAGGACTTCATTTGGACAACTTTTAAAGGCGATTTTCTCAATATTTAGATTTTTTTGCACCCTCAGATTCCAGATTTTCAAATAGTTGTATCTCGACCAAATATTGCCCTATCCTAACAAACCATACATCAATGGAAAGCTTATTTATTCAGCTTTCAGATGATTTATACATCTCAATTTCGAAAAAATTGACCCTTGTGACTGGTTTTGGGGTCCAGGGTCACAATTGTATATGCACATCTGTAGATATTTTATTCCTTTTTGCTTTTTTATATACAAAACCTTCACTGCTTTTCAGGTTGAAGTGATCTTTGTCTTCTTTAATTCCCAGCATCCTCAGACAGGACTCCACCACTTTTCCCACACTTGTCTCTTTAGGTGTCCTTAAATGAACTGTTCAATCTGACGCTAAATCAAAATAACACACAGATATAGGCATTTGTCAAACTTCGAAATTAATTTACAAAATGATATGTTCAACTATTAGATGGAACAAAATTGAATGGACAGAAATGTACCATTGACTGTGATTTCAATGAGAAATTAGTTCTTCTGAAATCTAGCATTTTGCTCTTTCTGTCTGTGAGAGAGAACAGGGCACATATTCAGGTCAACCTGTAAATACTGTTATGAAAATAATGTAAATGTCATTTTGGTAATTGTTTTACATTCTAAAACAATTACCAAAATAGTAATTACCAGAATGTGTTTTACATTCTACAGAGAAGGACAATCTACCTGAATTTGAATGAGCATCGGTTCATGTTGATGCTGCTAACTTGAAGAGAAGATCTTGACTTGGTCATGGACACCAAAGCCGCTGTGAATTTCTCAACATTGTGTGGACCAAATCTTTCTTTTGTGGGAAAGAAAACAAGTTTGGTACCAGAAAATTGCAGACAAAGTACTTAGACGTGGACTCAAACAGTTCACGGTTGTGTTATAGTACCAAGGATGGTGTCAAGTCTTTGAGTGGTGGAGTTTGGGGGGTGTAACTCATGGTAAATCGCAGACAGCAGCCTCTCTCTCTCCTCTAGATTGGACACTTGAAGGATTTTGAGGGTGTTGAGATCAATAGAAGCAATGTGAGATCCACTGAACTCTGCCTCTGTAAGGTTTGATCCACCCGAAGCCACAACATTATTATTAACATCTCTTTAAACGGTTGCTTCTGATAAATAACACTAATGGATCTCTAAAATAGCTCTTTATTGGTTTGAATGTGTTACAAATAGGCCTTGCAAATCATTAGCTAGAAATGGTAAAAGTCTCTATGGTGTTTTATTAGCTAGAAAATGTTGCTTTTCCTCTCTTTTTAAGTTGATGCATGGAAATACTTCTTAAACTGATGCAATAACTTCAAAGTGAAAATGAGTAATACATAATCTGAACAGTTATTGGTTTGTGGCTATGCATTAGTCTCTTTGAATGTTTGGTGAATTTAAACATTTAAAAAGGGTGGGAATATGACAAAACCAAATGTGCAAACTGTACTTTTACCTCTAATGAAGGGCAGGCATTTCTGTAGACCAATATTACTAAACCACTGGCAAAGCTCCTCTGTGTTCAGCTCTGCTAAAGTTTTGGCTCTGTACCCATTAGAATCCCACTAAATACAGACAGATACAGACAAACACATGCAATTGAAGATCTCAATATGCATGCATGTAGACACTTTTATTTACTTGAAATAACTCTTCATGAACATTCTCCGGCATGTTCACAGAGAATTAACGCAATGAAAGATGTGCCCACACAAAAAAAGACCAATATAGAACATTCCACCATAAAAGACTAACAGTTTTTTTTTAACCAAGGAGATTTTTCAGTGCTCCTATGAAAGGTGCTGCATGAGTATACTTGTGTATACCCTACAGCTGTGGATGCTCTGACTGTACATGAGGTGTATTTTCAAGTGGAACTGCCTGTACTTTTACAAAATGGCTATAGTTTTCCACTGACTATACTATCTTACTGACTTTGACGTTTTAGATGGTCAGTGTATGTTCAAAGTTAAGTAGGAATAAAAGTCTGCTATGTTTATTGACTTGACTCAGCTCCATTCATAATCTTATTTGTCAGAATATTTTTCACACACACACACACACACACACACACACACACATACAGATTTAATTGATATCTTTCATAAATTGCATTAACAGCTCTAAAATATGAGACACCGATGTTTCAGGAGTTTAGGACACATGCTTATTCGATAACTGTTTTATTTCCTATTTGGGTGACACACACACACACACACACACACACAATAGCCTTACCTTCAATGCACTTTCTCCAGTGTGGTCCTTTGACTGAGGAATGTATGATGCTGGGAAGAGGAAAAATAACAGGTCTAGCTGGTGGAACATCTTAGGATCCTATTCACCAGCAAAACTTGGTGCTGGTTAAGTTATTTGACCAAGAAAGTCTTTCTGGTTACACTAGTTAAAAGGTCTAGTGGGAAGCCTCCAAAACACAACACATAGTGGTCTTTTTCAGAGTTTAATACAAAATGGGGGGACTAATGGTTAGAGAGCTGAACTGGTACCCAGAAGGTCGCAGGTTCGATTCCCAGTACTGGCAGGAATTGTAGGTGGGGGGAGTGAATGAACAGCACTCTCTTCCACCCTCACTACTCATGACTGAGGTGCCCTTGAGCAAGGCACCGAACCCCCAATTGCTCCCCGGGCACCACAGAAAAAATGGCTACATACAGCTCCGGGTTTGTGTTCACGGTGCGTGTGAATGTGTGTTTTCACTACTCACTGCTGTGTGGTGCACTTGGATGGGATAAATGCAAAGCACAAATTCTGAGTACGAGTTACCATACTTGGCTACATATCACGTCACTTCACTTCACTCACTTTAAATAAATATGATAAGGATAGCATCCTAGCCTTTGTAATTCAAGCAATGGATCACAATATAAGGTCACATCACATCTTTACCAACAGTTATCCTCCTTTGACGTGGGGATTCCTCATCTTCAAGGACTTCATCTCTTCCTTGACATGTGGAGTGAAAGGTATGACTTCTCAGCACCGTATCGCCCAAACTACTGGACCTAGTGGTTGGTTTCTGTGATAGAACAACAAACGAGCATTCATACATGTAAAACCTCTTTTCGATATATTCTGTGTGAAATGTGAATTATATTAATGGGTTATTTTAAACAGGTACCATTTGTAAAGGTAATGCTGAGTGATTTTACCTTTTGGTGTGTTAACATGCTTATCTTACTGCTCAGCGGTAGTAGACTCAACTCTTCCTTTAGCAACTCATGGCTGCTGGCATCCTTGTCGCTCAGGTCATCTAAATGAGTAAAACAAGACATCACCAAGATGTCAGCACTTTTAGCAAATGCCCTCTGAACTGATGGGAAAGAACTTTTGGATCTGGAGAAGTCCTAACTCTGTCTGGGTCATTGAGTCCATCTCTGGGAAACAAAACAAGTAGAACTTCAAGCTAACATGGGAAAAATTGGTCCCAAACTCAAGTCTGGACAATATAGAGCACCATATTTGGTGTATTGTGCTCTCTGGAACACACTTGAAAGCTTGGTTGGAATTTGTCTCAAATTAATAATGTCAGCCGGAAACAGCTACTTAATCTCTGCATGCTAGTGCTAATACTTGAGCTAATAATGTTGAGGGAGGAATGAAAGTGTTTTCTTTTCACCATGAATGTTTTTACACGGGCTCTGTAACCTCAGTCATCAATGATTTATCATGAGCCTTGATGGCACACTCTGTAAATACATGCCAACATGCAGCAAACCACACTGTGGGATGTTGCAAAACTGGGTTAACAGTAAAAAGGACAAGTGAGGGACTGTCTGACCAGTGGCATACTTTAGTGACCAGTGACATGCTATGCTTTCCCACAGACAGCAGACATTCTAACATTCCCATAACCACACTGCTTTCTGAACACCCCTCCCTTTCCTTCATAAAAAAAGCAGGAATAACAAACAAGTGCTGGGAATTGACACACTGAAACGATGGTCTTAAGTCTTGTCAAAAATCCACTCTCTGATCCCTGTTGGTTCTGCATAATAGGGAACAGTATGTGTTTGGCATCAGTTCTAGGTTTGTACTGTTCATTGCCTGAGTCATACTACTGTCTTATGTCAATTCAATAGTTAAATATTAAGTGGAACATGGTGGAACGGTATATCATGGAGATCAGTTTTTTGAGCCTACAGATTTGTCAGTTTTGCAATATTTACATCCATTAAATTCAATCAGAATGTCATCAGAAGAAGCTCTTTCTATCTGTCTATCTATCTATCTATCTATCTATCTATCCATCCATCCATCCATCCATCCATCTATATATATATTCAACACAATCTTAAAAAATCACAGATAAACTGACCTTGCACAGCAATAATGCCTCCCTCTATATCTGGATTTCCTTACTGGGAGACCTCAGACATTTGGGATAGGCAATAACTGGTCCAGCACCATCATACTGAGCACTGGAGCCCCACAGGGCCTGATGACTCACGACTGTACTGCCAAACACAGTACAACTGCATCATCAAGTTCAAGAATGATATCGCAGCGGTGGGCCTCATCAGCGACAGTAAGTCATCACACAGAAAGGAGCATCTAATAGACTGCTGTGCAAACAACAATTTGTCTCTAAATGTTGACAAAACAAACTGAGACATCGACTTCAGAAAGTTCCACACTGACCACCTCCCATTGCACATCAATGGGTCTCCTGTAGAGACAGTCAGGATGGAGACGTTTCTGGGTCTGCACATCACTTGTACCACCTCACAAGCCAAAAAGGCACGCGATTTCAGCATCTATTTAATGCACACAATGTGGATAAGCTACAACAGGTACACATCAGCAGTGTGAATGCACTTCCCCATGACCAACAATTATAAAAACAGCTGAGAGAATTATTGGAAGCTCACTCCCTCCCATATCAGATTTTTACCACAAACAGTGTGTTAACAAGACCTAGAGCATCACATAAGACCCCATCCGTCCCACCAATGAACTCTCTAACCTGTAAAAAAGGCATACTAGATAGCCAACACAGAGACTTGAGAGACTTTGCAACAGTTTTTTCCCTTAAAGTTCCTCAATGCCCTGACACTTACTTCCTTACGTCCTTCCTTCCAACTTACTTAAAGTTTAATAAGCACCTCTACACTGATGTATTTTGACGATTTCAGCATCTATTTAATGCACACAATGTGGATAAGCTACAACAGGTACACATCAGCAGTGTGAATGCACTTCCCCATGACCAACAATTATGCTAGAGAAGCAATATGTAAAATTTGTTCTGCTGAAATATCAAGATGTGATTAGTTGATGCCATTTTTCACTAATACCATTCATTGCATATGCAGTTGTTGTGCAATTATTCATCACATACATTACACCCAAAACACACACAACTTAATTGATTGCAACTTAATATCCTTCATTTAGATGTTAGCTACTCAGGGCCTACGTATCTGTTCATTGGAGAATTTTAAGATCTTAAGAAATAAGATATTTATTTATGTTCATTCTTTTATCATTCAGCCACAATCCTTTGAAAATAACATTTACTGCTGGCTTTCTGAAAGTGGTAATACTATGATGGTTGTTGAGCCAGGCAAATAGGGCATTTCATTTTATACTTTTGAAATAACAATAAATGTGGCTTGACAAGCAAGAGGAAGGGAGAGTGACTTCCTTCTAGAGCAATTAAATTGACCTTTAAACTGATTTTCAGAATTGGTCCAACTTCCTAGACCAGGGGTCTCCGAACTCGGTCCTGGAGGGCCTCTGTCCTGCAAAGTTTAGCTCCAACTTGCCTCAACACACCTGCCTGGAAGTTTCTAGTATGCCTAGTAAGACCTTGATTAGCTGGTTCAGGTGTGTTTAATTAGGGTTCGAGTTCAACTCTGCAGGACACCGGCCCTCCAGGACCGAGTTTGGAGACCCGTCTTAGACTAATTGTGTGAAACAGTCCAAACAAGATACTTTTTTTCCTGCAAAATGTACACTTAAGTTAAGCTCTATCAACTACATCTATTCAAATTGTAATTATGAAAAAACGAGAGTGTCTCAGCTTGTTTAGTTCCCAGACAGAGTCAAAATTGTCCAGCAAAGGACAGGAGGCTTTTCAGAAACTGGGTCACTTCACACGGTCTGTGTGGTGCATTCGGCCCTCTGACAGCCTCTGGTCGTTCTAGACAGTGAACAGGAAGAGGATATGTGCAGAGCCTGCCCCGAGACTGCAGGGAAAACTCAGTAAAGCCAAGGACTTAACACAGGTCAAGATCTGAGGGAACCAACAACGAGATCTCGCTGCAGGAGAATAACACGCATATGTGCTGCAGTCCAACACATTCTCCTCCCTGCAAAAGCCAGTAAATTGAAAAATGGATTAATGGAATTAATGGAAATTAATTCAATTTTTTTTAATGGAAAACCGCATGGCCGAGGGAGGTAGAGGTACAGATATTCGGAGGATCAGAGCAAGAGAGTCCTTTGGGATCGTGGGAAGTATCTAGGTCTTTCCACCCTGCCAGCTGTTTCCACAGGGCCCCACTGTACTCTGGACCAGTGTGAAACACAGCACCAGAGAATACAGTTTCCTCTGAACCAAACTCACTGTACTTTCAGGAGAGTGAATTATGAAGAAACACATTCAAATGTTAATCGATTTAGGGCTTCACCGCAAAACGCACCTGTGTTGTCAGCATATATATTTATTCACAACTACCAATGGTGTAGTGATTCAACAACAGCAAAAAAAGTATGAACATTGAGACAGACTTAAGATGCCTGGAACAACTGTGTCAAGGTTTCTACCTGGAATACAATGCTTGGGAACAGGTATGGCTTTACGCTGGGGAATCTTGTGATAAATATCTACAAAAGCCGCCCTTCGCAATAGCATAGACACCATTGTCCAAAACAGGTTAGCCCTTGGGTGTCGTTTCTCTAGACCAAACAATAAACACCTTAGTTTTCAGTAAGGAACAACAGCTCACTTCACTAAAGGGTCTAAATATCTTTGCTTTGAGGAGTTGCTTTGTGCATGATGTCCACCCACACCCTCTGCCCTTTCTATAGAAAACCACACCTGGATGAGGACATGAATAAAATCATCAAAAATGAATGAGTCATGAAAGCGAGTTTTCAGCATTTCAGACAAATGAATTAGTGAATGATGAACAATTCCGACAATTCTTAGATCTCTGCCTCATCAAAAAAAAAAAAGTGCTATCAAAGGTTGCCTAATTGTTACCTACCAAATTTTAAATACTTGTAGATGTATATGCACCATAATTTTTCTGTTATTAGGTTAAATATCTAACATTTTTCATTCCCTATCTGACCCATTCAACAAATACAGTGTACTTTATTGTTCTATGGCGTTTTTAGAAACATTAGAGACAAACCCTTTTTTTTTTTTTGTTATGAGAACTATTTAATATGTTTGATAAAGTATTGTTTAATATAAAATTAACCTATTATTAAAACTACCTCGTATTAAACACTTAAAATTGAGATATTAGCCTAATCAGTGATCTTGCCCTTTTCGGCAGTATATTCAACAATTAGAAATCATACCATGTCAAAAGTTTGACAAACAACTGAATTTTTACTATTATTATTATTGATATTAATATCAGTTTAAATATTGATATTCTATTCAACTGTAGTAAACATTTTTAACAAATGTATTTTTTAATTAAATTACATTTGCAATCATTTTTGTATTTTAAGTATTTAAAGTAATATAATTTGCAAGCCCAATCTTGCATATAATTTAATTCGACCTCTCAAGGTTGACAATTAACATTTTCTGAAGGTTAAGATATGCACCTATTGTCACAAAAAGAGATCAAACTGTGCACGGTATACTATACATCAAAAACTCCATAACATAAATGTGCATAGGACCTCAAACACCTGCATGAAGACTACTGTGAAGATTCATCACAAATGAAAACAGACTCACCCAGATTATGTTCAGTGAACTGCAGCAAACTGATTCCAGTGTTGAGGCTTCCTGACAATGCAAACACACAAGTGACTATTTCAGAATTTATCATGATTAAAGCAAAACTAATCTCCAGTCATATTCAAACATGCCAGTGGTCTCATCAGATTGATGAAGCCTCGTACTTTTTGCGTGGGTATTCAGGAAGAGGGGGTACATGAAAGGTGCTACGCAGGAAATGTGTTGTAGACTTCTCTACACTCTTCTTCTTGGCCGGTTCTTCCTCTTGAGGCTCCGCCTGTGGATGTTCTTCATCTTTGGTCTCATGTTTACCTTCAGACTCC